TCTGGCCGCATGCACCAGCTGGCCCCGAGGCTCCACATTAACGTCTGACAGATGTCTCCAGGTCAGGATGCTCAGAGTGGTGCTCTTCTCCCTGATGGTACCCACTGATGTCCACCCCGACGGCCACACCAAAGCCCCCAGCGTCGTGCTTGCTTCCTCCTCGCTTGGCCCCATCCCCACTTGAGCATGTACCTGTTGGAAGAAAAGCAATTTTTTTGATCAAATACTTGGAGGCCTGTGCTCTTGGTAACTATTATGTTACAGTCTAGAGGAGGAAAAACTACCCTCTTTGATTCACTGCTGGGGCCTGCAAATTAAACTGACAAGAGCCAAATCAACAGGAGAAAAGTCATACAAATTTTATTGATATTAATATTTTTACATGTGCTGAGGCCTCACAGAAAAGAAGTGAAAACCAAAAGACTCGACTTAGGAGTTTATCATTTTAACGAAGAGCGATAAATTGTGGAGACATGACTAGACAGAAGAAAAGGAGGTTTGGGCCCTTAGGGCTGGTAAATTGTGGGCAGGTCACTAGGAAATTGTGGAAAGGTTTGCTATGCAGACATCTCAGTGCTGTCTCTAATCTTTCTGGTACTTTAGAGGGAACACTGTAGGAATGGAAATGGAAGTCGCCTTTGCCAAAGGAAGTTTATGCCCCACCTTTTGGCAGAAAGGGGAAGAGCCGAGAGCTCTTCCTGCATGTGCTGTTTCTCAGTTGCCTTCAGCTCGAAAGAATCCTTGTACCAAAGTGGTATAGTTTGAGATGGCATATTCTGCTCCCCTTCAACAGCATCATCTATGTTTAAGGACAATGAAAGAAATTTAAAAAAAAAAAAAGATCATCATTCGTTTTGCATGCTGAAAGACAATGGATATTATTGAGATCAGTGAAGACTTTTTTGCAAAGAAAGAATGCTGTATATCTGTCTCTGTAGCCTTGTTAGTCGGATCCTCTACTGTGCTAAATGTATGGTTTCATTTCATTTTACTACCTCTTCTCAGGATACAAAAGGGGGAGTCTTCAAGCAGTTTTCGTGTCGTGGGAGCAAATTAAAAACAGTGTAAAGATATGGTCAAGGTGAGGGGAAAGGAGTCTACATCTGAATTCAAGCCGCCTTTGAGAGCCAGTTTGTGCAAGGGAAACAAGTTTGACTAAAGCAGAATAGTAACTAGTGTGTCAGTTGCAGTGAAGATAATTACTCACAAAGCGTTTTTATTGTCTGCTTCTGAATTAATAAAAAGAAATTGTTCTTTTTCTCTAAAGGGACTTTAGATGAGTTTTAAAAAAATGGATGGACCTAAAATTACTTAAAGAATTAGGAAGAATTAAAAAAAGCCATATGTTTTATGTGCCTTGTTTTGAAGGAACAGATTACCTGCAAAAAACAGTGATTAATGTAATTTAAAATATAAATACTAGAAGATTCACAGAATTATGCCTTTAAAAAGTCACTGGTGCATTTAAAGTATTTTACTTAAGTTTATTCCAAAACACTTTACTGTTGAAAATGAGGTATAGCTTTATGCACTTGTGAAAAATAAAAGTGCAACTTAATGATTCAGTAAGTATGTGTTGAAAACCATCTGGGTGCTAGGCTCTGGGGGTAGAAAAATGATGAAGTCCTGTCCTGGCCACTGAGGAGCTTACAGGTATTAAGGGGGACTTGACTTGTGAATAAGTTTACACAAGGTGTCCTTGGTGCTCCCATTGGAGTGTGAATGGGGTTTGTCCTCATGCGAAGTGGGGAGTGGTTGATCCTGGTGTCCGGTTAGAAGGCAGGAAGGCTGCAGTGAAGAGATGAGTTTAAGGGAACGCTGATGTAAAATGATTACAATGAGAGGGTGCAGGTGGGCTTGTAGATAATCATAATCGTTTAATAAGTTGTGTGGTATTTTGTAGTTCTTATGACCGTTTTTAAATTTAGAAAACACTACAGCTATCTCATTAGTCATATACTTGTTAATATGATAGTAATAACTGTCCTATTATTTTGAGAATCTGCATTCTTAAAACTTTTTCTTCCTCTCCACGTTAGTAAATTTAAAAACAAATGACCTTTCCACTTCAATGAATGGAAGAAGTTTGATAATTTTCAGTTAGAGTAAAATGCTTTTCTTTGAAGCTTTGGAAATCAGTCAAGTGAAGGACCTTAAAAACTGCGTGTGTTTGACCCATACACATTGTGGTTACGCAGTCCTTTCTTTCTTTACTGGATGTTTATTTGAAGTACTTACTAATAATTTGCAACTGTTACAGCAAGATTTACAGTTCTTTTCTCTTTGCTTTTAGAACTTTAAAAATTTTGAATATGATGGGCTATCGGTTTCTAACTTCTTTCTTTTTTTTTTTATTTCTATTGAGTTCCATTTATAGTGACAAGTGAAAAAACTTAAATGAGGCAGTCAATCCAAATATCTACTTTGAGATCCTAAGTTATGTTTTGTCAAAGGCTTACCGTCTTTTGCATTTCCCTTGGAAATAGCTTTTATTTCAGTGGGGCACTAAGCATATGTAAAAGTATGAACTGTGGGTTTGTTTTCCCTTCAACCGCTGTGAATTAGGATTTTGTTCCTTTCTGAGTGATCTGCAGTAGCGCTACATTCTCCGCATCTGTTCTGCTCAACTGAATCATCTTACTCCAGCTGCCACTGAAGATCTGTTTCTAAATACGGAACATGTTTGACTTGGTTACTGAGCTAATCAAACAGTACATTGAAAACGTCCGTTGTGTGGAAGCCCTTTAGGAGTGGGGAGGGTTGGTGAGCCTTAGAGGGATCGCAGAGATGGCCTTTTCTTCAGAGCTTTTGGTCGTGTTTATGTCTGCACACGAAAGTGGAAAACTGGCATTTGAAGGCCAGCATGGTGTAGTAAAGGGACCAAGCCAAAAAGTGGAGGTGTGGGCTCTTCTTGCTGGTGGTGCCGTGAACTGATGACGAGTCATTGAACAACAGCACACCGCGGTTTCTGTGTGCCTCAGCCTACTTCAGTGTGCAGTCAGAGAGCTGGACCCGAGGGCGGCCAGGCGTCATTCCTGTGCCAGGGCCCGCACTGAGTGTCTTCACTCCTGGGAATCGTTTACCATGACAGGAGATGATTATACTTAGTTTTGTGGTTTCTTTTCCACCCTCACTGTGCTTGTTTTATTTTAAAATGGGATATATCTACCTCTATAAAAGGTAGAATTTGCACTGCTATGTTTTCTATGGTTGATGCTATAATCCTGTGAGAAATGTCTATTTTATTATTAAAACAATTATTTCTGACAAAAAATTGTATATATTTAAGGTATGCAATGTGATATTTTGGTATATGTATACATTATAAAATGATTACTACAAAGTAAAAAAATGCCTTTTAATAACTTATTATTTACCTTCAAAGGCTGCAGCCTGGCAGTCTCTTAATCAAGCTCAGAGCAAGAAAGGGAATTGGATAGTTCAAACATCGCCTTCAGCTGGAGGGCAGGCAGGTCGCCAAAGAGTGGTATTCAGGTTGAATCAATTAAACCACAGCCTTTAAATGCGAATATGCTAGCCAAGGAAGTTAAGCCAGAAGTACTCTCTCCTGTAGCGGCAGTGCTTTAAGCCCAGGGCACCATACTCAGTGGTCTCGGACCAGTTCTGGCTGATCGGTAAGAAAATGGGGATTACTTACAAGCCAGAACTCCACTTTTAACCCTGCTCAGATCAAACTGTTGGTTTAGGGTGGGGTTTTTTTTTTTTGATCACTGATAAACTTCGTTAATAAAAAGTTATTGAGCAAATATTTAAATGCATATTACTTGCATAGCACTGTACAGTTTTCTAAGGAAGGTTATAGAAGCCTCAGTCTGAGTCCCTGGCCTCCAGAGCTTTGTCATCTAATTCCATTTATCGACAGAGATGTTGGCTTCTTGTCCTTTTCTTTCTTCTGTTAAGATATTAATGAGTAGTGTTGTGACCAAAAGATAATCACAGTGGATATCTAAAAGATTAAAAGCCTTAGCTAGTTCATAATCCTGCATAATCTGTGGTGACAAGATGAAGAAACAAGCATGCCATGAATAAAGGAATAGCAGTCATTTCTTTGAAGTCTTTATAAATATACTTCTCATTTCTTTAAATAACTTATTATGAAATATTTGAGAGATACAAATACAGAAAGACTCATATAACAAGCAACTGTGATACCCGGTTTAAGAGAGAAAACAGGACTGCTGGAGCTGACACCTCCTGCGTACCCTCCTCTCTCACAGCCTCCTCTCTTCCCAGAGGGCCCCCTTACCCTGGACTCCCTCTGTTCTTTAGAGACATATAGAGTCTTGATCATGGCACTGTGTTTCCCTATTACTTACAGAGTATAGTCTTAATCTCTACTTGATGCTCAGGAGACTTTTTTCATTCTGGTTCAGATTTCCCTTCTGGTCTCCTTGCTCCAGCTCACGAACTCTGCATGCAGCCTGTGTATTGACCATGACACTGCTTGGTGTACCCCAACAGGCCTCGGATGCTCCCGCTTCCATTTCTTTGTTCATCTTTTCATAAACATTCTTCCTTTATCTCGTCTGCTGAAATTGCACCTAATGAATACTACTTCTGCTCTGGAATTGACAGTTCTTTAAAATAAAATGTACTGTATTTTCATAATATTTGCATTAGGTCTCATTTCAGTTATTGTTTACATGCCTGTCTCTTCAGATAGATAGAAGATACACCGTATGAACAGTATTTCAAATATTGTAAGCAGTCAGTAAATGTTTGTTGTATCTTTCTCATGAGGATATTGATTATTCTGTTTTACTTTATGACCATCAACCTACGCTACACTTAACTACTTTGTAAACATTTGCCATTTATGGTCTCTGGTTCTTCTAAGATAAATCTAATTTTGTTAATCATGGATAGAAATATTCATGACACTGTGTTTATCAATTTTTTGACATTGTCCTATTTTGTATGTTACAGTAGTACATGTTTTAAAATATCAAAATAATATTTCTTTTTGTTTTATCTTTTAGATATTGCTATATGGAGACTTGCCAAAAAATAAAGAAAATATAATATATTTAGCAAATCATCAAAGCACAGGTTTGTATTTCATTTGCGTGAAACTTAGGTTTTTCTACGGAAAGTACGTGGGCATTCAAAGAAAGACTATATATGTTGTTATATATTTAAATGAAAATTTTTTCTTATTATTAAAACGTGAATTTCTTATGCAGATATTATACATGACCTTGTAGTTTTGTGATTTTACTTTTTAGAAAGTCAGGAATGTGAAAACTGTGAATTTTCCTGAACTTACCTTCACCCTCTGATGGGTATAAGTAAGCTTTTTTCTTTTTTCTGTTTCTTTGACTAGCTCTTTAGTCTAGGCATTCTTTCTTCTTGTAAGTTATGTTTCTGGAAGTGGAATTGGTGGGCCAAAGTGGATATGCATTTTATATTTTTATTGTTAAGCTGCAGAAAACTTGTACCAGTATGTAAGTACTCATTTCCTAAACACTGTATGACTTTCTAATGTCTGCAGTTCCTTTTGCCTCTTCAAATGTTTTGGTTTAATTATAGCTTACTCCTCCATCAGAGGAATCATAGAAGACTCTGGTCTCCAAAATAGTGCAGTATATATTTTAGAGTAGATTAAGGTACTTTTTTAAAAAACTTTTTATTTTGAAATAATTATATAGAGTCACAAGAATTTGCAAAAATAGTACATAGAGTCCCATGACCCTTTCACCAAGTTTCTTCCAATGGCGACATCTTACATTAACTATTGTACAGTATCAAAACCAACAAAACTGACATTGGTTAAGGTACTTTTTAGTTCTCCAAATAATTCAGTCCAAAAAAAAAATCCCACTTCATAATTTCTTCAAACCTGTATCTGCTTTTGATGCACACTTTCTAAATTCGATTTCTGTTACTTAAAAAATACCCAGGAATTCAAAGCTAAAAACAACCTGATCAATGGTAATACCTTAGTGGAAAAATCACTTATGCCTGTGGCTTTCATTTATCTTCCTTCTGTCAACTGTGTCTCTTCATGATTTTGTTGCTTTTATTACTACCTATGCCTTAGATATGGTAAATCAAGTAAAAGAAGTTGAAATGCATTTTTCTCAATTTAGCTTATTAATGATTACATTCAGTTTTATAGGACAAAAGTTGACGCTACAAAGGGTTGATAGGAATTTGGATGTATCTGTATTTCCCTGACTTTATTAACACGACAGGTTCAGACTATTTGCCTTTGGTACGTTTGACTTTAGCAAAGCAACCAGCCTCATGATCAGTGTCTACTTCCACATCTGGGCTATAAAGCAGCCTGACTTAGTTCCTGTATTTTGACTGTTCCTCCAGACATACTGGTCTTTTTACTACCAACACAGTCCTGCTATTCCCATCCTGTTGTTGATGGCATGTTTCTACCAGGGTTCCAATATCCAACTAAAAAGTATGTATGGGCCCAGGGAAGGGAGTGGCTCATGAGAGCCAAATTTCCATTATATTGAGCCACTGGTTAATTTCATTTAGAGTTTTCTTTCTGATTAACAGGATTCTCTCTTAAAATTCCTTGTTCAGGTTCCCTGCCAACTTTCCTTTTTCTAGGTTTCAATGGAAATACTGTTCTAGTAACAGAGCTGTGGTACTAATGTGAACATGTGGAATAAGTACTCTGAGCATTCCTGGAGGTGGTAGTAGTAATAGTAACAATCAAATAATATCCACTACTTTTGTTTGTGGGCATACCATGTGTTGCCCTTTGTGTACATTACTTCTAAATGAGGACTTCTGGGAAATCATTTGGAAGGAAACAGATTTCTTTAATTATTCTTCTTGTGTTTGGAACTGGAAGGTAATATGGCAAGTGTGAGCCCTACAATCAGCCTCCAGCTGACCTGAGAAAGTTACATTTCTCCTGCAGAGAACTGCTTCTCCAGCCCCCCCTGACCTCTGAGCGCCCGTGACTTCCTAGTGCCCGTGACTTCCTAGTCCCCGGTCCTGCCCCAGGCAGCCTTTGGGATTGGAGGGTTAGAGAAGCTTATTTTATTTCTTGTTCATGCCCGTGACTTCCTAGTCCCCGGTCCTGCCCCAGGCAGCCTTTGGGATTGGAGGGTTAGAGAAGCTTATTTTATTTCTTGTTCATGCTGCTTTGGGATCACTTTGATGGTTTGTGACTTTGCATTTTATCCCTGAAATAGTGTCTTTCAGGAAATGCAAAAAGAAAAAAAAAACCCACCAACAAAAAACAAACAAAAAACCGGAATTTGTATTGTTTAAATGTCTGTGGTTGATATAAAGTAATTTTAAAATTCTAATAATGTTTCAAAGCATATTCTTAATAGAGTCTGTGAAGAGGCCTTTTCTGTTTGTGTGAAGGAATGCTGGAATTCACATTTGGGTCATTTGTGCACTAATTGGGTTGTGTCTTTCCAGTTGACTGGATTATTGCGGATATTTTGGCCATCAGGCAGAACGCTCTTGGACACGTGCGCTATGTGCTCAAAGATGGGTTAAAATGGCTTCCGTTGTATGGTTGTTATTTTTCTCAGGTAACGTTTTTTTCATGCTTTTTTCTTTATATGTAGCTTATAAAAATTTTAGATTTGATTGAACATAAACTTTTTATAAATGTATGGGGTTTTTGGTTTATTTTTATGGGATTAATAGCTTATTCTAAATTGAAATAATTGTATTTGGCGTTTTTAATGGTGTGTATTTATATACATGTCTGATAACCCAGATAGCCAAATTAAATTAAATAACAAAAATGCAAATGTACAAAAATCTAACAAATAGGAAAATTTAAATGCATAGAATTTGATAGACGATTACCTTAAGCAACTAATAATAAAAGTAATTATGATCTGTAGTATGTAAAACAATAGTAAGCTATATATATAAAGTGCTTAGCATGAGTGTCAGGTAGGTAATAAATATTCAATATATATGATTTCCCAGAATGCCCTTTAAAATTATGTAATAGCTGTCATGTCATGAAACTCTGTATAACAGTCTCTTTTATATTCAAAAGGGGATTCCTAGCCTTTTCCTGTGCCATGTCTAAATAAATTATCTGACATGTAATTTTTTGAGTGTTGTGTGAAATTTATATGGAAGACATGCTTGTTAATATAATTTTCATAATTGACTAAAGAAGAAAGGCTAAAGTAATGGTAAGCTCTGAACATATGTAAATCTAGAAGTCATCTCATGAACAAAAGATAGCAGTACCACCAATTCATGCTACCCACAAGTTGAATGACGAGTGTTATGTTGTGTTTGAAGTCAGTGCTTGAATACTCGTTTCCTCTTTCCTCTTTTCCTCAGTCTTTTAAAGGAAAATAAAATTCATATAAATTTTGATGAAAAGTATTTTAAACTACTGGGTGCATATAAAAAATGGCATAGATTATGAAGTAGTGGACTTTATGTCAAGAAGTGAATTTTTCTAAAAAGGACTTGTTTTTCACAATTTGTATGAAGCAGAAATAATTCTATTCACAACTAGTTATTTACAAGCAAAATATGAGGAAACAGACTTTCAAGTTTTGCATTTCTTAAAATTATTGTATTTATAAAATACTAAGTTATTTTATATATATAGAAAAATACATAGATATACAAATATTCAGAAAACTAAGCATTTCCAAACTGCCACCTGTGGACATTGTAAGGTGTAGTTTAACTTTGGAATACATGGCAGAGTTCTGCTTGCCCTCCCCCCATCAATCCAAGCAGGTGTCTTGGGAACCTTACTGTTGTGTTAAATTAAAAAAAAAAAGAGATGTCATAGAGAGCTTTTGCTTATTTAAGCCCTGTGACGATAAGTAGAGATATGTAACAGCTGTGACTGACCTCTCATTTAGCAGTGATGTTATTTATAACTGTGCATCTTTTTATATTCTTGTGTAGTAAAGCTGATGGTATTTTAAGTAGGTCACAGTCGAGTATTAAATAATATATGAATTAAAAATACTGTTCTTGTCTTTAGTGGAAGAGACTGTTCTCTCCCAGTGGTTTATTGTTACATTTTGGCTTGTGTTTATTACTTCTTCCTTAACTGTTTTAAACACGAAGGTCACTGTTATACTTCAGTAATATTTAAAACAGAGTATTTTGGACTTCATTAGTCTTTCCTATAAAATGATGAACATACCTATGAAATTTAAATGATTTTATAGCAAATATAATTGCTCCATAATTAAGGCAACTTGAGGAAGTCTTGAAATTTAGAAGTAGTAGTGGAAAGAAATGTGGTTTGTCTGAGACTTTGCTGCTAAAGCACGTTCTTCTGTGAACAGGAGTTTCGTTGGGGTAAAGTTTTTTATGTGGAGGGAAGAATATTCATGAATAGGTTCTATAATGTTTTAGAATTCTAAAGGAATAGGAGGTCAAAGCACTTTTTGAATAAAAAGGCAATTTATACCCAAAGTTCCCAGTCAGGGGCTTTATTGTCTCAGTTTCCTTTTTTCCTTCATTTCCGTTTTACTGGGATCCTTTCTCTTGCCCTTCTTGACCTTCTCAACCCCAAGACAGGCCGAGTTCTCGAAAACAATCAGCAGTTTTATGAAATATTTAAAGAATAGTCTTAAAAATTCAGAGCCCCTAGAAGGATGCCTAGTTTGGGGGATTAAGCCATTTAAGGAATGATCTGGGGAGTTATTGCAAAGAGTAGACTGGGGATCTTGGATCTTTCCAGAGAACATTGAGCTCTCATGATCAACCTTGGAAGCTTTTTAGTCTGTGCACTTTCCTCACTTCAGATCAAACTGAACGTTTTAGAATTACTCTGGAGGCTCCTGAAGCGCATTGGAGCTTTGGCCGGGGTTACCTTGTAGCCTGACTGTGCCCTGGTGACTGTGAAGGCCCCGAGAATTTTGCTTCAGTTTTTGACAGAACAGAAGTGCCCTGTTCTTTTTTCTCTGGGAGAGAGGATCAAAGCAATGTGGGTGTGCTCACCATTTACCCAAACTTGGCAATTTCCACCTTCAGCCTGCAACGACACTGTATTTGCTTCTCAAACCATAAATTTGGTCAACACTTATCTGCTCAAAATTGTGTTTCCCGACTGCATCAAGTCCCAGTTCCCTTGCATGACGTTCATGATGTACCGTGACCTACCCCCTGCAGTCTACCTTTCTGTTTCTAGCCTGGATCTGTTTCTCACCTCCCTCTCCCTCTTCAAGCTGTTCCTTTACTTTAAGAGAAATACCCTTTCTGCCTTTGCCTTTAAGGTCCAGTTCAGATGCCGTCATGAAACCCTTCCTGAGCCTAGCAGTCACTCTCTTTCCTCTGTCCTGCTTTTGTGTTTGGCTGTCTTTACGATAAAACTTACCAGATTCTCTTCATAGCATACTTGTATACAAATTTATGTATACATATGTATATACATAATAAGTCAGTGGAACTAATCAGAAAGCTCCTTAAGATACGTGGTCTTCACTTCTGTAGCTTCCATATACCTGGGAAAGAACCCAGATGTTTTTGAATTAAAATAGACTTTTAATAAGCAAGTTAAATGGTAGGGAAGAAATGGTATGTAAAGAATAGACGTAATGTCTTTTAAATAGTATGTAAAGAATAGACATAATGTCTTTTAAAACTTGGGGATGTTTTACATTGCAGTGTATGCATTCTGTGGCTTTCAATTCTAAAGAGATGGTGAAGAAGGAACCTATTCTCGTCAGTCCCCTCTATTTGGGTAACAGTGACAGGCATTCTGTAGAGCGCTTTGAGTTTATTCTCTGCTCTCGGGCGAGCCAGTTCCTGTGGGAGGAACCGTGACCAGATTGGAAGGCCACCTCTTCTCCTCTCCCCTCTACTGTCCTCTCCTTGCTTCTCTATGTCCATTTCCTTTTACTCATATTCTTGACTAAGACAAAATCAGAGTCCCCCAGTCGGTTTATCTTACAGAGGAATTCAGCTTAGCACAGAGGATCACAAATAACATCCCGGCCCGATGCAAAGTTCCAATGAAGTGCACTTATGAAGTTTAACTGGAGAGACCTTAATTTTTATGAAAGTCCTGTGTTAGTCTGCTCGAGCTGCCATAACAAAATACCACAGCCTGGGTGCCTTAAACAACAGAACTTTCTTTCCTCACAGTTCTGGAGGCTGGCAGTCCCAGATCAGAGTGTAGCAGGATTGGTTTCTCCTGAGGCCTCTCTCCTGGGCTTGTAGAAGGCTGCCTTCCCCCTGTGTTTTCCCTCTGCGAACACATCTGTGTCCTAATAGCCTCCTCTTCTGCTGGACTAGTCCCATTGGATTAGGGCCCACCCTTAGGACCTCACTTAACCTTAATTACCCCCGAAAGACCCGTCTGCAGATGCCGTCACACTGGGGGTTAGGGCTTCAACAAACGGATTTTAGGGAACGGAATTAAGTCCACAACAGTGCCACATAAATATCTAGTTGGGCCAGTTTTTAAAATCCCTAAAGATCGTGAGTGTTGACATTTTAAGGACACTTTTTAATGATTCTATAATAAGTCAGTAGAAAAATTGAGAGCTGAGATCCATCTGATTCATTTTGTTTTTGATTTAAAAAAATATATTTTTAAGAAAGAAAGCGCTTTTATTTTCATTTATTTATTTTTTTGGTGAGGAAGATTGTCCCTGAGCTAACGTCTGTGCCAGTCTTCCTCTATTTCGTACGTGGGACGCCACCATACTTACTTACTGAGCATGGCTTACTGAGTGATGTATAGGTCTGTGCCCGGGATCTGAACCTTGGAACCCTGGGCCACTGAAGTGGAACACGTGAACTTAACCACTGCACCACCAGACCAGTCCCTTGAAAGAAAGCATTTCAAAACTCACTGTTCATGTATTTTTCAGTACAGTGTAGCATGCAGTTTTATTTGAATTATGTTAAAACATAGCATTTTCAGCTAAATGTTCTTTAGATACTAATATTTGAATGCATTAAATATAGTTTAATTCCTAAAATGTAATTTTATTCTTTACTCTTTTGGAGTGAAGTTACCTTTTTGCTGACTGGCCATTGGATATTTTAATAGTAAATAATTTTCTCCCCCAATTTTTTTTTATGTGGCAGCATGGAGGAATCTATGTAAAGCGAAGTGCCAAATTTAATGAAAAGGAAATGAGAAACAAGCTGCAGAGGTACATGAACGCAGGAACTCCAGTAAGATTATGCTCGTTTTTATTATTTTATTTGCCAACTCTCATTTTTCGATTTAAGAATCAAATTAGAATTTAAGAATTGTTTTGAAAACGTCTTATCCCGTGGGTCGTAAATCATTCACAGTTTTGCCGAGGCAACAAAGACCCTCTAAGTAGAGGTGGGCAGCCCTCTCTGGCCGCCAGACGGACTGCTGCACACGATTCGGTCTTTGCTGCTGCTTGTCAATATTGACTTAAAGACGAATAAAAGGAGAACATTTGGTTTCTGTAGTCTATAAATAGAAAACAGAACTGAGCTTGTAACCTTACACTTGAGCTACTTAAGAGCTCCTCTAACTCCTCGTCTTTAGTACCAGATGTAGTTTTAGAAGAAACAACTGTTTTCTGTCTCTCAGTATAAATTTGGATTTCTTGTATATATTGAGTTATTTGAAAAGCCAAAAATAGTATGAATATCTACAAACACGGAATCATTCAGTGTAAATATTATTTTATAAAACTTTGCTCCCCAGAAAGGAATCTTAATATTCTCTTTGAAGAATGCTAATTGCTGCCAAGTGGCCATCCCCTGGCTCCCTCTGAGGACGGACGAGCAGGGCTGCAGTGACTCCTGGAGCTTCGTTCAGGCGCTGCGTGGGCGCTCCGTGGGCGCTGTGTGGGTTTCTGTCCTCTTGCTCCGAAACTTTAGCTCAGGGCACAAGCTCCTTTCTTTTCTCCTTTCTCGTCCCCTCTCTCCTCCTCCTCTCTCTTTGCCTTCTCTCTCTTCTCTTCTGTTCCTCACCAGGGCTCATAGGTGGCAGCCAGAGCTCATATTTAAGGAAGACTTTTCCATAGTCAGCTGAGGAAGTCCCCTAATGTTCAAGTTTTTTACTTGTAAGCATTCTCTAGTTGTTTTTACATTATGAAATTGCGTCCTGTTTTGGGATGACCTGGAGTGTTATTTTTCTGTTAATCTTCAAGCTTGTCTTTGTTTCTTTAAATACTGAAGGCATCATTTAAAGATGTGTTTAGTGATTTCAGTATTTGAAGTCCTGTTTAAGTTTGTTGTTTTCTGCCAGTTTTTGCTCATAGTACTTTCTTTCCTTGTGTGCTTGGTTATCTTTGCTTGCTGCTGATTGTATGTGGAAGATTATTTGTAGACATCGGTTGAAGCCTAGTGCCTTCCTCCAGAGAACAATTGCATTTGCTTTAGCTGGGCCCCTTAGGCTCCTCTAGTCTGGGCCCACCGAAACCAGATTTGGAGCTTGAGGTTAATTGGGCCGCTCAGGCAGTGCAGCCCAGGTTGCAAACCCATGTGACACCTGTTGGACATCTGGTTTACTTTTATGCTGGGAGTGTAGCCTTTGGTGGTCCCTTCCCTTCTGGTTCATGCTTCACATTTCTGCTTGATTTTTGTTCTCCTCATCTTTTTATTTCTTTTTTGAGGAAGATTAGCCCTGAGCTAACATCTGCTGCCAATCCTCCTCTTTCTGCTAAGGAAGACTGGCCCTGAGCTAACATCCATTCTCATCTTCCTCTACTTTATATGTGGGATGCCTACCACAGCATGGCTTCCCAAGCGGTGCCATGTCCACACCCAGGATCCGAACCAGCGAACCCCGGGCCGCCGAAGAGGAACTTGTGCACTTAACCAGTGTGCCACCAGGCCGGCCCCTCTCCTCATCTTTTAATCTGTTAAAACAGAAGCTCTGTTCTGTGCTTGCTTCTGCTTTACTGTGTTTGCTTTAATTTTGGTCTTAGCATCTTGCCAGGTCTTTGATACTTTTAAAATGATGTTATATCCAGTTTTTAAAAGTATTTCAGTAGAAAGGTTGGTTGAAATAACCTAGTCTTTCACTTTGGGCTATCAGAGACCCTTTCTGTTTTTCAAAGGCAAAAGTCTAGCTTGTTGATGTTCGTGCAGTTGTGTTGAATAATAGACTGGCAGGCTCAAGAGGCAGTGCTGTAAATGGTGTCACCTGAAGGTCGCTGTGGGTCCAACGCCTGGTTTCTTAGTATCTGGATGGCCACTTCATTTGTTAATAGTTAAATGCTATGAAACTCATATATATTTCTCAGATTCTTCATGATTCTCTTTTGTTTCTGAAAGCTAATCAAGTCATTGACAGGGTAGAATATATTTATCAAGTCAGCTTTCGTATGGTTTAATATGCCTCATAGGAATCTGTTTCATGATTAAATCAGCTTTTCTCATTCAATATTAGTATTATTTGAAAGGCTGCAGAATTTTGTTTAGAAAAAATATGTCTGTATTATAAATTACTAAGAAATACATTTCAGTAATTATTGCTGGGACAGTTGTGAGTACAAATGAAACATATATGATAAACATAACTACCTCATATAGAAGTCATTTAGTCAGCGTTTGAGCTGGTACAGTTCATGGCACAAGTAGAGAGTCTTGTGCCTTGGGGTTTTTCTCCAACTTTTGCTCAAGTTCCTTTTCAAATGGAAGGCAACCTAGTGGGTAAAAGTATTGGCTTTGAAATCAGATTTGAGTTTAAATCCTGGATCTGCCTTTTAAACTTTGTTACTTTGTGCACGTCACTTAGCTTTTCTAAGTTTTAGTTTCCTTATACGTTAAGTCTGTTAATAATTACCTAATTTTATAGCTAGGATTAAATAACATGTTTGAAAATTATACTGATTGTATTAGTTTCCTATTGCTGCTGTAACAAATTACCACAAACTTATTGGCTTAAAATGACACAAATTTTGGGTATGACAGCAAAAGCACAAACAACAAAAGCAAAAATAAACAAGCGAGACTACAGCAAGCTAAAAAGCTTCTGCACAGCAGAGGACATAATCAATAAAATGAAAAAGCAACCTATGGAATGGGAGAGAATATTTGCAAACCACGTGTCTGATAAGTTTCTAAAAATCTATAAATCTATAAATTTCTAAAAATTGATGAGGAAGTCATGCAGAAGAACAAATAACCCAACTGAAAAATAAGCAAAGGACTTGAATAGACACTTCTCCAAAGAAGACATACAAATGGCCAACAAGTGAGTGAAAAGGTGCTGGACATCACTGATCATCAGGGAAATGCCAGTCACAGCCACAATGAGACGTCGCTTCACACCTGTTAGAGTGGCTATTACAAAGTCAAAAGATAACAAGTGTTGTTCAGGATGTAGAGAAAAGAGAACCCTTAGATACTGGAAAACAGAATAGAAGTTCCTCAAAAGATTAGAAATTGAACTACCATATACTCTAGCAGTTCTACTTCAATATATATCCAAAGGAAATAAAATTACTAGCTTGATGAGATATTGCACTCACATGGTCATTGCAGCATTATTCATATTAGTCAAGATATGGAAACAGTCTAAGTGTCCATCGACAGAAATAGATAAAGAAAATGTGGTATATGTACACAGTGGAATGTTTTTCAACCTTAAAAAAAGAAGGAAATCCTGTCATTTGCAACAACGTGGATGAACCTTGAGGGTATTATGCTAAGTGAAATAAGGCAGATAGAAAGAGAAATACTGCATGATCCCACTTATATGTGGAATCTAAAAAAGTTGAACTCATAGAAGCAGAGTAGATGGTGGTTACTAGAGGTGGAGGAGGTGGGGAAAGGGGAGATGTTGGTCAGAGCGTACAAAGTGTCAGTTATGCAAGAGGAATGAGCTCTGGAGATCTAATATACACCCTGGTGACTATAGTTAAGAATAATGTATTGTGTACTTGAAACTTGCTAAAAGATTACATCTCAACTCTTCGTACCACACACACAAAAAATATGGTAACTGTGAGGAGATGAATATGTTAATTAGTTTGGTTGTGGTCATCATTTCACAATGTGTATGTATGTTAAAACATCACGTTGTGCAACTTAAATATACACAATTTTTTTGTGAATCATACCTCAATAAAACTAGAAAAATTAATAACACAAATTTATTATTCTAAACATTGTGGAGGTCAGCAGTCCAAAATGGGGCTCGTTGGAATAAGATCAGATTGTTAGTGGGCTTGAGGTCCTTTCTGGAGACTCTGAGGGAGAATCTGTTTCCTTGCCTTTCCAGCTTCTATAGGTTGCCTGCATCCTTAGCTCGTGGCTTAAGTCTTCAAAGTCAGCAGTGGCTGGTCTGGTGTTTTCTTTTTTGTTGGCTGTCTCCCTGATTCTGACTCTTTGCCTCCCTCTTTCCTATTTCAGAACCCGTGTGATTACATTGGGCCCATGTGGACAGTCTAGGATATTCCCATTGTCTTGAGGTCCAATGACTAGCCTCTTAAATCCCCTTGCCACATAACATAACATATGCACAGGTCCTGGGGATTAGTAGTGGACATGTGGGGGAGGGGCATTATTCTGCCTGCCGTACTCATGCATTTGTGTGGCTAAATAATTGTCTTCTGATCATTCATATACCCCTTCCATAGTCAGTAATAAGCTCTTTGAGGAAAGAGATAACTTTGTGTCCTGCCACACTTTTGTATTCTTTCTCTGTAAATGTATAGTGGAATTTTTAGTGAGTTGAATGTTTCTGATTATAATTGTAGAAAACTTTTTTAAAAAGTTGTTACTTGCTAGAATGGATTAATTTGGGGGCACAAGGCAGAGATGCAGTACCTTTTTTATATTCTGTACATCTCAATATGAAGTAGATTTTTATTTAAAGAGAAGACAGTGATTAAAAGATGTCTAGCTAATCAAAATTTATTTAAAATTCTGTGACATTATTTCTATATACACGTGCCTGCTTTGAAACTATTTAGTAAACTGGATAGAATTTTTAAAAACCAGAAGGGAAGGAAACTTAGTATGTATTAAGAGCCTGCCACACAGTGCTTATGTTTTCACATATTTCCTTTAATCCTCACAGCAACCCTGAGTCTTCATTTGTGAATGAGAAACTGGGACTCAGTTAAAAGAAAATTAACTTATCCAATGCATAGAGAAATGGCTATTTTTATTTTTATTTATTTTATTTTTATTTTTATTTTTTTTAAAGATTTTATTTTTTCCTTTTTCTCCCCAAAGCCCCTCCAGTACATAGTTGTATATTCTTCGTTGTGGGTCCTTATAGTTGTGGCATGTGGGACGCTGCCTCAGCGTGGTTCGATGAGCAGTGCCATGTCCGCGCCCAGGATTCGAACCAACGAAACACTGGGCCACTTGCAGCGGAGCGCGCGAACCCAACCACTCGGCCACGGGGCCAGCCCCGAGAAATGGCTATTTTTAATAGAAGGCATCAGTTCAATAGTTGGTTGCAATTTGAACACAGTCGTGTGCCACATAATGATGTTTTGTCAACAATGGACTGTGTGTACAACTGCGGTCCCCTAAGGTTAGGCCATGCAGCCTAGGTGTGTAGTAGGCTGTGCCATCGAAGTTTGTGTAAATGCACTATGCGATGTTTGCACAACGATGAAATCACTAACGATGCATTTCTCAGAACACATCCCCGTTGTTACGTGATGCATGACTGTATATTTAAAACTCTTAAATGGCTTTTTTCCTTTTGAATAGACTTTTAATGTGAAATAGCTTGCTAATTTTCCATTAGAGGATAAAGTATCTATTTTTAAAATGGTTTATTACATCTTGAATATAGATTTTCTTATATCGAAGGTGATTACTAAAGGAAATAGAATCTCTGGTTCCTTCCAAATGAAAATTAGCAGAATAGGAGATTTATATGAACACTAGCAAAAATCTTCTGCATAATGTGGTTTGTAGCATTTTGTCTTTTTTTTTTCTCTTGTCCTCATTACCGCCCTGTCCTTACGTAGGGATTTCAGTTACATTTTCCTAATTGGGAAGCGAGTCCAGAAATGTCAGACTGCCCTGTTGGAATTCTTTTCACGCCCTGGTGCCTCAGTTTTAGTGCTTCCCCTTCCTCTGTTGCCACCTTCTCCAGTTCCAGGCTGGAGAAGATAGCTGCCTTTTCTGTCAGCACTTTGAAAGTAATAGCAAGGAGGTTATCGGATGAGAGCACCTGAAGGAGGAAAAAGTATTACTTTAAGGTCTTGGCTCTGCCTCTTGCTCTCTGTCGTGCCAGGCTCTCGTTCGAGAGCCAGGAGAACTGCTTTGGCCTCCTCACCTTTAGAGGCAGCTGTTTCTGAGGATGCAGCATGCAGAGTGACGGTGGGGAACACGGGTCACCCAGCTCATGTCATGTTACTCCTCTTCCCGCTAGATATGTCATCACAGATTTCTAAGGCAGATCTGTTTTAATTTTAACAGCAAATTGCAATATGATTTTGCACCAAGCACTATATTGAGTAGATTATGTGAATTATCACCTTTTATTGTTACAGTATCTCTCTGTGATGCAGGTATCACAGTCATTTCATTTTATAGACGAGGAAACTTAAGGGCCAGCGAAGATCAGGAGTTTACTCAGGGTCTCAGGGCTTGAAGTGGAAGGTGTGGGATTGGAAGCCAGGTATTCAGACTGTTCTCTACTTTTTCTCTAGTTATATTCTTTGTAAATATGATTTCCTATAGAAGATCACTTACTTTGTGGAGTAGTGGCCGTAAAATAACTTTACATTTATCCAGTGACTTTAATAATTCATAGTCTGACTGCCAAACTATATTTTACTTTTGTAATGTAACTTTTATTCTATGTAATAGTTTCTTTTAGAATTTGGAACCTACTCACTGACTTGTTGGGGGCAGGGGTAGTAATGGGCTTTGGAGTTTTTTTTTTAATTTTTAAAAATTGTTATACTTCACATACTGTCAAATTCACCATCTTAAAGCATATAATTTAGTGGTTTTTCATATATTTGCAAAGTTGTGCAACCACCACCATTATCTAATCCCAGAACATTTTCATCATCCCAAAAAGAAACCCTATACCTATTAGCACTCACTCCCTGCTCCCTCCTTTTCCCCGCCTGAGACTAAAGACTCTGTGTAGTAACTTTTTGTCTTGTCTAATTGTTTTATGCCATTCTTGCACTTCCACATTTAATTACACTGGCCTTTTCGTAGTTCCTGCAATGCTCCAAGTTCTTTCCCACCTCAGAGCCTTTGCTCACAGTGCATCTTCTATCTAGTGGCTCCCTCCCTGTCTCTTATGGAAGTATTATCAGTGAGGTATGATTGATGCAGATAGTTACAGTATAGAGTTTGATGAATTTGGTATGTGTATACACCCATGAAACCATCACCACAATCAAGATAATGAACATACCCAGTACCTCCAAAGGTTCCTTGTATGTCTTTGTGCCTGTTCTATCCCAAGGCAATCACTGAGCTACTTTCTGTCACTGTAGATTAGTTTGTATTTGCTAGAATTTTATATAAATGGAATCATACAGTTTGGACTCTCTTTCTGGAGTGTATCTGGCTTTTTCCACTCAACATAATTATTTTTGAGATTCATCCACATTATTGTCTGTATAAATAGTTTCTTTTTACTGCTGAGTAGTATGTCACTGTATGAATATACCAAAACTTGTTTCAGTTTGGGGCTATTGAAAATACTAAAAATGCCTAAGAATATTCCTGTACAATCCTTTGCATCTGTGACTTGACATTTTATATTCATAACAGTGCCTTGAAGAACAAAAGTTTTTAATTTTGCTAAAGTCCAATGTATTGATTTTTCTCTCGTAATATCTACTGTTTGTGTCCTATTTTAGAAGTCTTTGCCAAACTTAAAGTAACTAAGATTTTCTCCTATGTTTTCTTCTCGAAGTTTTATAGTTTTAGTTTTACATTTAGATCTATGATCCATTTTGAGTTCATCTTTGCATATGGTGTAAGGTCAAGGTTCGTATTTTTAAATATGAACATTCATCACCACTTATTGAAAAGCTTATCCTTTTCCCCATCCTTTGAAATAACTTGATTGCATATATATGGGTATATCTCTGGACCATTCATTCTGTTCCATTGATCTCTATGTGTATCCCCAGGCCAGTACTAAACTGTCTTGATTACGTTTGACTATAATACATTTTGAAATCTGCTTAGGCAAAGATAGTGGGTTCTAAAGACATTTATATGAGTGAGTGGAAAGCTTGTATTTTTGCATGGAAGCTAAAAATGCAAAATACAGAGCGATAAGTATACCAGTTTTTCAGATGAAACTTTGGAAGAGATTAATCATAAGTTTGTGTAATGAAAAACTTTGAACTCTCGCATAAGTTCATCAAGTAGGAGTTTTATGATCACAGATCATTCAGATAGGGGAATGCCCCTGTACTGGATGTGTAGGTAGACGGTATTATCTAGGATCTGGCGTGGATGGGTAAAATGAACGTAATTTTCTCCCATGAGCTCCTTCTATCCTTTTGTTTCCTGTATTCTGTTTGTACTTGAAAAGATTTGATAGCACTGTCTTATTTTTGTCTTTTGGCTGCCAATTAAAAATGTTGGGGTAGTTTTTATAACTTAGTTCTAAAGTCAAGAGTTTTTCACCGTGTGGTTTTACTGTTTCTGTTTTCACTTTCCCTAGCAGACAAATGTAAAAGCTTAGGCTAATTGATAACTTAGTAAACATCCAGTTTGATATTCTCCTTTACTTATAAGTACATTACTTCAGTTTATGAAGCTGCTTATAAATTGTCATTTAAAATGCATTAAGGGGGCTCTATAAAATAGGAATACTGTGTATCTTTTATAATGTGAGCACTTATTACCTTTTATATTGTGGAATTTTTGATATTTAGTTTTTCTCAAATGAGATAGACTTTTGGTATTGATACTTAGGGGCACTAATTTCTAAAATTTGTATCTTTTTAAAATGTCATTGTGTAGAATCTTAGGGGGGAAAAAACCTTTAATTAACTGAGGCTTTGTATGAGTCAGCATTTCATAGCCAAATTTTTAATTAGTGAATATTAGCATGTAATTAGAAATGTTGTTAGATTCTTAGTGATTGACCTGCCAGTGAATGTGGGCCTGCATTTTAAATATAGTCCATATTATGTTTTGAGTTAAGTGAACTTTTACATTTTGGTTGCTGTGCCTGAAATGAAGGTCATATGTAAATGAATGTACATCCCCCCCATAGGAAATACTCTTTTAGCTTTAATAGGATTAGCATTGGTAAATTAACAACAGTAACAAAAAAGCTCATAGAAAATAAACCAAATTTTCTTTATGCTCCACAGATGTATCTTGTGATTTTTCCAGAGGGAACAAGGTATAATCCAGAACTAACAAAAGTCATTTCAGCTAGTCAAACATTTGCTGCTCAGGAAGGTAAGTAAAAATTTGACTGTATTTGAAAAAATATTTTTTAAAAATATGACATTTTTAGATTTTGTTCCTGGAGAAGATATTTACGTTTTAGAACAATTGAAATGAATGGTTGTATTCATTCCTTGAATGAATGTATGTGTTATCTCTTAGGAAATGACGTTTCTTCTCATTAATTAATATTCACGTTATTAACGTATATCTGAGAGATTAAATTCAAGTGCTTGCTACAATACTCATTCTGGTGCCATGGATTTAGTTAAAATCTGTCTAGGTCATGACTATGTCGATGGACTTTTCTCTACAGTGTGTCTTCTGTGTGACAGAAAGAATTTCTGTTCTGCAGGCTGACAGACCGTGGCTGGAATCCAGACTCTGACATTTATATGGTTGCAAGTTGCCTAATGTTACTGAGCTTCAGTTTCCTCATCTCTTAAAAAATATATGCCTCAAGGGTATACCTAAATCTGTATAAGAATTAAATTAGAAGATATGTGAAGTTCCTATTGGAAAATATTACACAAAGTTGGTTCACAGTACTTGGAAGCTATTAATGTCCCCAGTGATGGGAATGTTCTTAATATCCATATTTTAGAAAATTGGATAACTGATAATTGGATAAGTAAGCTATTCAATTTAACCAAATTGGGAAGTAAACAGAAAACCGTGGCTCCGCTGTGTTCTCAAGGGTGTCCTTGAAGATTGACTGTGAATTACTGTGTGGTCTCCATGCATGGATCAACAGGCTCTTACTAAACAAATAACTTGTAGACGACGCTATGTCAGTCTGTGCAGTGCTATCCAAGAGAACGTTCTGCAATAAAGGTAATGTTCTTTATCTGCTCTGACCAAAGTGGTAGCTCCTGCCCACGTGTGGCTAGTGGGCTTTCAAAATGTGACTAGTACATCAGAGGGAATGTATTGTTTTTTTTTTTTTGAGGAAGATTAGCCCTGAGCTAACATCATCTGCCAATCCTCCTCTTTCTGCTGAGGAAGACTGGCCCTGAGCTAACATCCATGCCCATCTTCCTCTACTTTATCTGTGGGATGCCTGCCACAGCATGGCTTGCAAAGTGGTGCCATGTCCGCACCTGGGATCCGAACCGTTGAACTCCGGGCTGCTGAAACAGAACGTGCACACTTAACCCACGGCGTCACTGGGCTGGCCCGGAAATGCATTTTAACTTTAGTTTATTTTAGTTAATTCATTGTCATGTGATGTGAAATTCTTGATACTTTCTTACTGAAATTCTCTCCCTAGACTTGTATAGCTCTATTCTCCATTTTTTCCCCAGTTCATTGGTGATTCCTGCTGAGTCTCCTTTTTAGCCTTCTCTTCTGCTTCATTCTTTGCTGTTTCATATGTTGTTTCCAATGTCTGACTTTGGTTGTTGATTCATTTTACTTTCTATGCTTTTTACAATGGCCTTCATCTAAATCCGTAGCTTCAGCCACCATTTATTTGACTGCTGATGACTCACAGAGAGCTTTCTCCCATCCATATCTCTCTGCCTAATGCTAGACCTGTATGTACAATTGCCCAATAGAGAGCTTCTTGACTGACCTAAAGGCATATCTCAAACTCAGTATGTCAAAGATAGAATTTATCTTTCCACTCATACACTCATATTTCCTGTCTTAGTAACTTCATCATTCAGTCTAAAACCTGGGAGTCATCCTAGACTCTTTCCTTTTATCCCTCCAAACATCCAGTAAATCAGCAAAATCTAGAGTTTCTCTCTCTCCATCCCCACCATTACTGCCATACTTTAAAATCTAATTACTTCTTGTTTCCATTATCTATTGCTATGTAAGAAGCCACCCAAGAACTTGGTGACTTCAGACAGTGACAGCGCTTTATTTCCTCACAATTCTGCCCTTTGGTCAGGGCTCAGTAGGGATGGCTCATCTGTTTCCCATGGTCAGCTGAAGCCTCTCACCTCAGTGCCTTTGGGTGGGAGCTTGTTTGGGGCTGGAAAGTCTAAGAGGACTGTACTCCCGTGCCTCCTGCCCTGCTTGCATTGGCTGGGAGTGCTGGGAGTAGCTAGGCCTGTGTCTTCAGAGTTCTTTTCAACTTTCCTCATGGCATGTATTTAATATCATTCTTCAGTCAGTATTTACTTTTAGATGGACGTTACCACTAGCCTTGGGCTGCATTCCCAAATGCATATCAGTTATATAACCCTAGACAAATTACTTTATTTCTTTTGGTCTATTTCCTTATTGTAAACCAGGGATCATGATGTCTCCTTCACAGGGCGTTTATGAGATTCAGTGACATAGTGTTTATAAAAAGCCTGATATGTAATATATATTCAATAGGTCATTACTACTAACTTAGAAAGTGGAGGAGAGGGACTGCTATGGGTAAATCTATTGATAATGGCAGAAGTTGATAGCTGGTACTGAGTAATGAAACAGAAGACTAATAAGACTGGACATGAGAAGTGTTGGCAAAGATGTGGAGAAGAGGGAACTCTTGTGCACTGTTGGTGGGAATGTAAGTTGGTGCGACCACTATGGAAAACAGTATGGAGATTCCTTAAAAAAATTAAAAATAGATCATAGCATATGATCTAGCAATTCCACTTCTGCATATTTATTTGAAGAAAATGAAAACACTAATTTGAAAAGATATATGCACTCCCATGTTCACTGCAGCATTATTTGCAATAGCCAAAATAGGGAAATAACCTAAGTGTCCATTGATGGATGAATGGATAAAGAAAATGTGGTATTTTATACACACACACACTGCAATATTATTCAGCCATAAAAAGAAGGAAGTGTTTGCCACAACATGAATGGACTTTGAGGACGTTATGCTAAGTGAAATAAGTCAGATAGAGAAAGACACATACCATTTGATCTCCCTTAAAAATGGAATCTAAAAAAATATATATACAGGCATACCTTGGAATATTGCAATAAAACGAGTCACATGAATTATTTGGTTTCCCAGTGTGCGTAAAAGTTATGTTTACACTATACTGTAGTCTGTTAAGTGTGCAATAGCTTTATGTCTAAACAAACAATGTACATACCTTAATTAAAAGATACTTTATTTCTGGGGCCGACCTGGTGGCACAGTGGTTAAGTTCACATGTTCTGCTTCAGTGACCCAGGGTTCATTGGTTCTGATCCCAGGTGAGGACCTATGTACCACTTGTCAAGCCGTGCTGTCACAGGCATCCCACATATAAAGTAGAGGAAGTTGGGCATGGATGTTAGCTCAGGGCCAGTCTTCCTCAGCAAAAAAGAGGAGGATTGGCAGCAGATGTTAGGTCAGGGCTAATCTTCAGCAAAAACAGGAGGATTGGCAGCAGATGTTAGGTCAGGGCTAATCTTCCTCAAAAAGAAAACCCAATCAAACAAAAAAAAGTGCTTTATTGCTAAAAAATGCTAACCATCATCTGTGCCTTCAGTGAGTCGTAATCTTTTTGCTGGTGGAAGGTTTTGTAAAAATTGCACTGTCTATGAAGCACAATGAAGTGAAATGCAGTACAATGAGTATACCTGTATGGAAAAGCAAAAATTAAGCTCATAGATGCAGAGAACAGATTGGTGGTTGCTAGAGGTGGCAGGGGTATGCATTAGTGAACTGTTTTTGTTTTTTAGTTTAAATAAATTGAAAAAAAGATGAAAAACATTGCATATATTTGACAACAGGTTGGACACAACATTAAGTTGTTGAACTGGAAAATGCATCAGAAGAAATTATTTAGAACATACCCTACAAAGAGAAAAAGAAGAAAAATAGAGATAAGAGCATAAGAGGTGTGGAGGATATAGTTAGAGGTCTGACTCATTGATTAGAGTCCCAGGGAGATGAGAGTGGCATATTAAATATGGGAAGTCGTAATTGTTTGGAATTTTTCAGAACTGATGAAAGATATCAATCCTCAGATCCAAAACACTCAGTTAATCCCAAGAAAGATTAATTAAAATGAATCTCCTCCTTAACATAATATAAAGGAATGGAAGAACAGCCAATGACAATGGGGAAATTAAAAAAAGGAGGAATCTGGAAAAACAAAACACCTCAAGGGAGCAGCAGTTAGACACTTGACTTAGAGAGCTTATCAAAAGCAACAGTAGAATGTCAAGATGTTTGCAATATACTAAAACTAAATAATGGCTAACCTAGTCTTTTATACCTGGTGAAGTATATTTTTTTTAAAAGTAAAGGTGAAATAAAGATACTTTCATTAAAACAAAAAAACTGGATGTAAGAACTCAAATTGTTGCCATTTGGGCTTCTTTGTAAAAGGTAAATAAGCCTTATATCTTGTAACTACATTCTTTTCTGAGACTAATACTAATTTCATTTTTAAGAAATACTTATTGTGAAGCAGACGTGAGTCCTTATCCAGATAATGGATAAGAACGCATGCATATGGTGTCTAAAGTGATGAGATGTTAGAAGCATACATAATGTGCTACAGGAGTTGAGGGAGGAAAGAACTAAATAACACGCAGGGTGTCTGGACGACTGCAAGGAGGAGATGACATCTGAAATGTAGAATTAGGACCCATGTGTATGACGAGGGAATTGTAGGTATAAGAAACAACAATATCAAAGACATGGAGTTATGAATGGATGGGGCATGTGAGGTAGGCAAAGAATTTTGATATTTTTAACAAAAGATGAGTGAAGAAGAGTTGTAGGAATTCCATCTGTGAGGTCGGGATGGGTCTCCCTTGTGGAAGGCGTGCAGTACTGGGCCTAGCGTTAGAGAACGTATTCCATCGGTGAATGGAAGTCATTAAAAAGTAGTCTTTTAATTCGTTCGTTATGTTTTATTTAAGAAATCATAGTCTTAATTCCATTTTTCTAAAATCCTGTTCTACAACTGAGATCATGGGATGTTTTGGAAAAAGGGATTTTGTGTCCAAATGGGTTTAGAGAATGTTACATTTTATATCCTTCCCTTAGGGAGGTACAGTTCACATTTATGTATTAGTCTCAGAAAAGATTATTGTAAAGATATCCGATTTTGTTT